CCTCATGTAGTTGCTTTTCATATTTTATCCTCAGTTTTTAGTTGCAATAAGAGAAATAAGCCATACTGTGTTTCATCTTGGCTGGTTCTCAAAGTCAAATCTATTTTATATAATAAAATTGATAATCTTTATGGTTTATACTTTGTGTCTTCTGTGTTTGCTTTAAATAAACTTTCCTAACCAAAGGTCATAGAACTACACTTCTGTAATTTTAATCTGTGTGTGTTAGATTTTACATTTAAGAATTGATTTTATGTCCACCATAAGACAGGGATCTAATGTCAGGGAGTCCGTTGCATTGCCAATTATCCGGTGTCTCCTTTTGATCTGGAATGCTATGCAGGCATACCTCCTTTTACTGTGCTTCACAAATACTGCATGTTTTACAAATTAAAGATTCAAGACCTCAGTGGAGGAAGTATCTGCAGATGTGGCAACAGCCAGAGAACTAGATTTTGAAGTGGAGCCTGCACATGTGCCTGAATTGTTGCAATCTCATGATCAAACTTGAGCTGATGAGGAGTTGATCTTTTTTTTTTTCAATTTGGATTTAGGATGAATTTATTTTTTTAATTTAAATTCAATTAATTAACAGGGGCACCTGGGTGGCTCAGTGTGTTAAAGCCTCTGCCTTCGGCTCGGGTCATGATCCCAGCATCCTGGGATCAAGCCCCTCATGGGGCTCTCTGCTCAGCAGGGAGCCTGCTTCCCTTCTTCTTTCTCTCTGCCTGCCTCGCTGCCAAGTTGTGATCTCTGTCTGTCAAATAAATAAAATCTTTTAAAAAAATAAATAAATTCAATTAATTAACAAATAATGTATTAGTAGTTTCAGAGTTAGAGGTCAGTGATTCATCAGTCTTCTGTAATGCCCACTGCTCATTATATCATGTGAGAGTTGCTCCTTTTGATGACCAAAGAAAGTGGTTTCTTCAGATGGAATCTATTCCTGGTGAAGATGCTGTGAAGACTGTTGAAATGACAACAGAGGATTCAGAATATTATATAAACTTCTTTGATAAAGGAGCAGCAGCAGGTTTAAGAAGATTGACTCCATTTTAAAAGGAGTTCTACTGTGGTATATGTACGTACACGTACACACACACACACACACACACACACACGAATATTATGCAACCATCAAAAATGAAATCTTGCCATTTCCAACAACATGGTTGGAACTAGACAGTATTATGCTAAGGGAAATAAGTCAGAGAAAGGGAATTATCATAGGGGAAGGGAGGAAAAAATGAAACAAGACAAAACCAGAGAGGGAGACAAACCATAAGAGACTTAATCTCAGGAAACCACCCGAGGGTTGCTGGGGGTTGGAGGGGTGATGGACATTGGTGAGGGTATGTCTTGTAATGAGCACTGGGTATTATTATATAAGACTGATGAATCACAGACCTGTCCCCCTGAAACAAATAACATGTTAATTAATTGAATTTAAAGATAAAAGAAGTTCTGTGGGCAAGATGCTACCAATAGCATCACATGCTGCAGAAAAAATATTTGTGGAAGAAGATCGATACAACAAACTTCATTGTTCTCTTATTTGAAGAAATTGTCACAGCGACCCCAGCGTTTGGCAGCCACCACACTGGTCAGCAGCCATCCACATGGAGGCGAGACACCCTCCAAGACTTTCCTTTGAATTAAGGCATTTACTTTTTTTTTTTTTTTTTTAGACAATGCTATTGCATGCCTAACCGGCTACAGTAGAAGCTGACTTATATGCACTGGGAAACCAAAAGATTCATTTGACACACTTTATTGCAGTGTTCACTTTATTATCGTCTGGAACCAAACATGTAGTAACTCCAAGGTTATGTCCATAGTTGCTCTCTGAGGATCTCGTTGCATTGGGCGGGGGCAGGTGGAGGGTAGTTCCAATAGACAGCATCTTTTTCCCCTCCACATGGAGAATGTGGAGATTCCAAATAGCTCCTTTATTAAAAGAGGGCTAGAGGAACCAGCTTGATGAGAGAGTTGTATCAGACTTGCTAATTCCCTAGCCACCACCAGTTCGACTTCCCACCTAAGTCTAGCCTGGGCCAGTCCAGCTCAAGGAAAGTTTACATATGCAGAGAAAACCCACTTGTTGAGGTAACTGCTGCCTACTCTCTAGTCCAGGGAAAGAGGGAAGGAAAAAGAGATTAGAATCCCTCCCCACCATTAAGGTAACTCACTCCACCTCCCTGAGGAGGGTGTAGGAGTGATAAGAGACCAGGAGCCTTTAGCAGATCTATGGTCTTGCAGTTTGGCTGAGAGAAGAGTAGTTTGTGTCTCCTCCCTGTTTCAATTTGTCAGTTTTGTTTGTTAGAAAAAATGTTTTAAGATTATTTATGGGAGAGAGCACAAGCAGGGGGAAGGCAGAAGGCAGGTGAGAAGCAGACTCCGCGCTGAGCAGGGAGCTGGACTTGGAGATGCAGGGCCATTTTCTAGGACCCTGAGATCATGACCTGAGCCAAAGTCAGATGCTTAACTAACTGAGCCACCCAGGTGCCCCTTGTTAGAAATAATTTCTGAAAATTAGTTGAACTGAACTGTTTCAATATTGAGCTGCATTCACAATAGAATGTCATTGTCCTATGACTTAAACCTTTTGAGTTCAATACCTTTAAAGAGCATTTACTATGGCCTTGGATAGAACCATGTTTCCTTGGATTAAAAAAACAGAGAAGATATACTTCAGATTTCTTGTTTTTCTTATATTTAGATCTACCAAGTTCATAGTTTTATAAACCTGGTCATATATTCATTACTTGCTATGAGCAAGAATTACACTAGATAGAATTAGGACATGATTCTCTCATTGGAAGGCCTCACAGTGTAATAGAGAAGACAGTCACAGTATTGATGATACTTGCCCATTACCACAAAACCATAGCAGAATGTTAAAATTATGTAAAAAATAGAGAAATTAACAAGTACAATGATACATGTAAGGAAAGTTATTGTTTCTATGTAATACATGCATGAAGATTTTGTGTGAAGTTTTGAATTGGTAATCCTATTTAGTTACCTATTTTCTACAATTCTCCTGGAAGTAAGTAACAAATTGATCATTTCAAATAAGCCAAAGTTACTTGGTCAAAAGTTATCCCTTTAAGGTATATTTTTTAGTTGTTTGCTCTTCAAGGTATTTTAGTGGGAAGAGATACCAGATATTACATTTTTATTATATGAAGTCTTTTATTTTTAATTTTTTTAAAGATTATATTTATCTGACAGAGGTAGCAAGAGAGGGTACATAAGCAGGGGGAGTGGAGAGGAAGAAGCAGCCTTCCCTCTTAGCACGGAGCCCAATCCAGGGTTCCATCCCAGCACCCTGGGATCATGACCTGAGCCGGAAGGCAGACACTTAATGATAGCCACCCAGGCGCCCCATGAAGTCTTTTAAGTTAAAAGGCAGGGGCTGGGGTGCCTGGCTGGCTCTGTTAGTAGAACCACGTGACTCTTGATATTGGGGTTGTGAATTCAAGTCCATGTTGGGTATAAAGATTACTTAAAAATAAAATCTTTTTTTTTTTTTAAGATTTTATGTATTTATTTGACAGATCACAAGTAGGCAGCGAGGCAGGCTCCCCGCCGAGCAGAGAGCCCGATGTGGAGCTCGATCCCAGGACCATGGGATCATGACCTGAGCCAAAGGCAGAGGCTTTAACCCACTGAGCCACCCAGGTGCCCCCAAAATAAAATCTTTAAAATGAGAGTTGGAGGTGGCATCACATTGCTACCTCAGAAATAGAAACTAGAATGAATACTCGTGTCTTTAACGACAAAGGAAATTTTTATTCTCTATTCACTAAGATTTCAATTGTAGAGTCACAGAGGAGCAACTAGAGCAAAAAGGGAACTGTCTGTGCATGTGTGCAGAAAAGGCACCCCAGAGGGTGGAAAGAACACGAATGGTAGAGTCGGGCCAACCCAGGTCAAATCCTCACCCTGAGTAACCTTGGGCAAATTCTTAACAAACTGAGCCTTCATTTTCTCCCTGCCTGTAAGGAATTATAGCCATTTCATCATTTCATTCAGTTCTCCTAGAGATATGTACAATGTGTTTCTAAGTCCACAACCTGAGCAGTAATGCTCACAGTATTTTTTTTTTTAAGATTTTATTTGACAGAGCACAAGTAGGCAGAGAGGCAGGCAGAGAGGGGAGAGAGCAGGCTCCCCGCTGAGCAGAGAGCCCACGGGACTCGATCCCAGGATCCTGAGATCATGACCTGAGCTGAACACAGAGGCTTAACCCACTGAGCCACCCAGGCACCCCGCTCACAGTATTTCTAAGCCTACAGTCTAAAGGAAATCTTCAAACAAAAGTGGGCCAAGCATATTTTAAGAGCTTAGTACAGGTAGCAAGCTGCCTATAAAATTTCAAGAAAGAGGATGCTAAAATTAATAGTGCTTATTTTGATACTACAGTTGATATCTTCCTGTCTGAAAACATAAAAATTGTTATTTATGGGTTGAAGTCTTAAAATCACTTAAATGTCCAGTATAGAATAGGAGATAAACAAACAACAAGACATCATGGAAATGTTTGTGGTGTTGAGGAGTATAGGTAAGATAAAAATGGTTTCAATGTGTTACAGGATGTATGTATCTTAAAATTAAACTTAGGTTTTTTAAATGTGAAGAAAAACTGAAAAAAAATTGCAACAATTGCAAGAGTGATTCTTTCATTTTCCCAATTTGTCAGTACCAAGAGGTTGCTTTCATAATAAGAAAACTATGTAAGAGACCCAGTGAGCCTTGTGGAGCAAAAAGTTTCTTTATAGACAAAACACAAACTTAGGTTCCTTAATGCTTGGTCCCATTAAGAAGGAAACCATCAGTGTTGGTTCTTTTGACTCTTAGGCACCAGCCTTTAACTCTTGTGCTCCTGTCAGCTGTCATATTTCTATATTTCTACCATGTCGACTGGATAGTCAGAAATACAACACTCAATTTTAATCTTTTCAAAAGCAGTGTTTTTCTCTGTTTTAATGTTACAGATTTATTTGAGGTTCCTAGATTATCAAATGGAGCACTCAAATGAATGCAAGAGAAACTTCGTTGCAGTTTATGATGGAAGCAGTTCTATTGAAAATCTGAAGGCTAAATTTTGCAGCACTGTGGCCAATGATGTGATGCTGAAAACAGGAGTTGGAGTGATCCGAATGTGGGCAGATGAAGGTAGTCGGCTAAGCAGATTCAGAATGCTCTTTACTTCCTTTGTGGAGCGTAAGTAAATCCTATAGCATTGAGATCTTTTACATAATTTTCATTCATTCAGAATTTAATTATTGAGCATTTCCTTTTGACAAAGACTGCAAGTCAAAGAGAATGTAGAAATAACTAAGTCGGAGTCCCTATTCTCAAGGAATTAACTGTCCTGGGTGAAAAACCATGTTAAAACATAAATTGCAACACTGCCTTATTATAGAGGTGTAAACAGAATAGGGAACACAGAAAGTGGAAACTCCTTTCAAGATTTTCAAAATTAAAAATAATTACCAGTGGTTTAATTCAGTTTGGTGTATAATTATGAATCTACCAAACTATGCTCATCAAAATTCAGAAAGGCTATGTTTTCTTTGTTTCTAACTTTTTATTTTTAAATAATTTTAAGCTTATTTAAAATTATAAAAATAGAATGAGGTTTGTTTTTGGTTTTTTTTTTTTTTTAAGTTTTTTTAAATTAACATATAATGTATTATTTGCTTCAGGGGTACAGGTCTGTGATTCATCAGTCTTACACAATTCACAGCATTGTGAATAGCATATACCCTCCCCAGTGTCCATCACCCCATCCCTCCTTCACCCTCCCCTCCAGCAACCCTCAGTTTGTTTCCTGAGATAAAGTTTCTTTCCCTCTCTGGTTTTATTTTGTTTCATTTTTCCCTCCCTTCCCTTATGATCCTCTGTCTTGTTTCTCAAATTCCTCATATCAGTGAGATCATATGATAATTGTCTTTCTCTGATTGACTTATTTTGCTCAGCATGATACCCTCTAATTCTGTCCATGTCATTTCAGATGGCAAGACTTCGGAGTTTTTTGATGGCTCCATAGTATTCCACTGTGTATATCTACCACATCTTCTTTAACCATTCATCTGTTGGTGGACATCTAGGTTCTTTCCATAGTTTGGCTATTGTGGACATTGCTGCTATAAACATTCAAGTGCACATGCCCCTTCGGATCACTTCATTTGTATCTTTAAGGTAAATACCCAGTAGTGCAATTGCTGGGTCATAGGGTAGCTCTATTTTCAATTTTTTGAGGCACCTCCACACTGTTTTCCAGAGTGGCTACTTCAGCTTGCCTTCCCACCAACAATGTAGGAAGGTTCCCATTTCTCCACATCCTCGCCAACAACTGTTTTTCCCTGACTGGTTAATTTTAGCGATTTTGACTAGTGTAAGGTGTATCTCATTGAGGTTTTGATTTGTATTTCCTGATGCTGAGTGATGTGGAGCACTTTTTCATGTGTCTGTTGGCCATCTGGATGTCTTCTTTGCAGAAATGTCTCTTCATGTCCTCTGCCCATTTCTTGATTGGATTATTTGTTCTTTGGGTGTTGAGTTTGATAAGTTCTTCTTAGATTTTGGGTATTAGCCCTGTATCTGATATGTCAGTTGCAAGTATCTTCTCCCGTTCTGTCAGTTGTCTTTTGGTTTTGTTGACTGTTTCCTTTGCTGTGCAAAAGCTTTTGATCTTGATGAAGTCCCAATAGTTCATTTTTGCCCTTGCTTCCCTTGTCTTTGGCGATGTTTCTAGGAAGAAGTAGCTGTGACTGAGGTCGAAGAGGTGGCTGCCTGTGCTCTGCTCTAGAATTTTGATGGATTCCTTTCTCACACTGAGGTCTTTCATCCATTTTGAATCTTTTTGTGTGTGGTGTAAGGAAATGGTCCAGTTTCATTCTTCTGCATGTGGCTGTCCAATTTTCCCAGCACTATTTGTTGAAGAGACTGTCTTTTCTTCATTTGACATTCTTTCCTGCTTTGTCGAAGATTAGAGGACCATAGAGTTGAGGGTCCATTACTGGGCTCTCTATTCTGTTCCATTGATCTATGTGTCTGTTTTTCTGCCAGTACCATATGATCTTGATGATTACAGCTTTGTAATAAGCTTGAAGTCTGGAATTGTGATGCCAACAACTTTGGTTTTCTTTTTCAACATTTCTTTGAGAAACCTTCGTGGTATTTTGATAGGCATTTCATTAACCATGTAGATTGCTTTAGATAGTATAGACATTTTCACATTATTTGTTCTTCCAATCCATGAGCATGGGATGTTTCTTCATTTCTTTGTGTCTTCCTCAATTTCTTTCTTGAGTACTCTGTAAGTCTTCTGAATACAGATTCTTTGCCTCTTTGGTTAGATTTATTCCCAGGTATCTTATGCTTATGAGTAGAATTGGAAATGGTATCAACTCCTTAATTTCTCTTTTTTCTATCTTGTTGTTGATATGTAGAAATATAACTGATTTCCGTGCATTGATTTTATATCCTGACACTTTACTGAATTCCTGTATGAGTTCTACTAGTTGGAGTGGAGTTTTTTGGGTTTTCCACATAAAGTATCATATCATCTGCAAAGAGTGAGAGTTTGACTTCTTTGCCGATTCGGATGCCTTTTATTTCTTTTTGTTGTCTGATCACTGAGGCTAGGACTTCTAGACTACGTTGAATAGCAGTGGTGATGGTGGACAGTCCTGCTGTTCATGACCTGAGGGGAAAAGCTCTCAGTCTTTCCACATTCATAATGATATTCGCTGTGGGTTTTTTATAGATGGCTTTTATGATACTGAGGTATGAACCCTCTCTCCCTCCACTGTGACAAGTTTTGATTAGAAAGGATGCTATACTTTCTCAAATGCTTTTTTGGCATCTACTGAGATGGTTCTCGTTCTTTCTTTTATTAATGTAGTGTATCACACTGATTGATTTGCAGTTGTTGAACCAATCTTGCAGCCCAGGAATGAATCCCACTTGGTTGTGGTAAATAATCCTTTTAATGTACTGTTGGATCCAATTGGCTAGTATTTTGGTGAGAATTTTTGCATCCATGTTCATCAGGGATATTGGCCTATAATTCTCCTTTTTTTTAAAAAATATTTTATTTATTTATTTGACAGAGATCACAAGTAGGAGAGAGGCAGACAGAGACAGAAAGAGGGAAGCAGGCTCCCTGCTGAGCAGAGAGCCCAATGCAGGACTCGATCCCAAGACCCTGAGATCATGACCTGAGCTGAAGGCAGTGGCCTAACCCACTGAGCCACCTAGGCGCCCTAATTCTCCTTTTTGATGGGGTCTTTGCCCGGTTTGAGGATCAAGGTAATGCTGGCCTCATAAAATGAGTTTGGAAGTTTCCCTTCCATTTCTATTTTTAGCAACAGTTGCAGGAGAATAGCTAGCTATTAATTCTTCTTTAAATGTTTGGTAGAATTCCCTTGGGAAGCCATCTGGTCCTGGGCTCTTGTTTGTTTTGTTGGGAGATTTTTTGATGACTGCTTCAATCTCCTTACTGGTTATGGGTCTGTTCAGGTTTTCTATTTCTTCCTGGTTCAGTTGTGGTAGTTTATACATCTCTAGGAATGCACCAATTTCTTCCAGATTGTCAAATTTGCTGGTGTATAGTTGCTCATAATATGTTCTTATAATTGTTTGTATTTCTTTGGTGTTGGTTGTAATCTCTCCTCTTTCATTCATGATTTTATTAATTTGGGTCCTTTCTCTTTTCTTTTTGATAAGTCTGACCAAGGGTTTTATCAGTCTTATTAACTCTTTCAAAGAACAAGTTCCTAGTTCCATTGGTCTGTTCTACTGTTCTTTTGTTTCATTGATTTCTGCTCTAATATTTATTATTTCTCTTCTCCTGCTGGGTTTAGGCTTTCTTTGCTGTTCTTTCTCTAGCTCCTTTAGGTGTAGGGTTGGATTGTGTATTTGAGACCTTTCTTGAGAAAAGCTTGTATTGCTATATACTTTCCTCTCAGGACTCTCTTTGCTGCATCCCAAAGAACAGTTGCATTTTCATTTTCATTTGTTTCCATGAATTTTTTAAATTCTTCTTTAATTTCCTGGTTGACCCATTCCCTCTTTAGTAGGATGCTCTTTACCCTCCATGTATTTGAGTTCTTTCTAACTTTCCTCTTGTGGTTGAGTTCTAGTTTCAAAGCATTGTGGTCTGAAAACATGCACTTGTTCTCAAGTGCATTTCATTGGGAATGATTCCAATCTTTTAGTATCGGTTGAGACCTGATTTGTGACCCAGGATGTGATCTATTCTGGAGAATGTTCCCTGTGCACTAGAGAAGAATGTGTATTTAGTTGCTTTGGGATGGAATGTTCTGAATATATCTGTGATGTCCATCTGGTCCAGTGTGTCATTTAAAGCCTTTATTGTTGATCTTTTGCTTAGATGATCTGTCCATTTCAGTGAGGGGGCTGTTAAAGTCCCCTACTATTATTGTATTATTGTTGATGTGTTTCTTTGATTTTGTTATTAATTGGTTTATATAATTGGCTGCTCCCATGTTCGGGGCATAGAAATTTAAAATTGTTAGATCTTCTTGTTTTACAGACCCTTTAAGTATGATATAGTGTCCTCCCTCATATCTTATTATAGTCTGTGGCTTAAAATCTAATTTGTCTGATATAAGGATTGCCACCCTGGCTTTTTTTTGATGACCATTAGCATGGTAAATTGTTTTCCACCCCCTCACTTTAAATCTGGAGGTGTCTTTGGGTCTAAAATGAGTTTCTTGTAGACAGCATATTGATGGGTTTTGGTTTTTTATCCATTCTGATGCCGTGTGTCTTTTAATTGGGGTATTTAGCCCATTTATATTCAGGGTAACTATTGAAAAATATGAATTTAGTGCCATTGTATTTCATGTAAGGTGACTGTTCTGTATATCGTCTGTGTTCCTTTCTGGTCTGTTATTTTTAGGCTCCCTCTTTGCTTAGAGGACCGCTTTCAGTATTTCCTGTGGGATTGGTTTGGTGTTTGCAAATTCTTTTAGTTTTTGTTTGTCCTGGAAGCTTTTTATTTCTCCTATTTTCAGTGACATCCTAGCTGGATATAGTATTCTTGGCTTCATATTTTTCTCATGTAGTGCTCTGAATATATCATGCCAGTCCTTTCTGGCCGGCCAGGTCTCTGTGAATAGGTCTGCTGCCAATCTAATTTATCTACCATTGTAGGTTACAGACCTCTTGCCCCGAGTTGCTTTCAGGAT